AAACACGCCAAGATTGGTCTAGTTGTTTTTGACCATCATTTGAAATTTATAAAACATTTCTAAATATTTTAAATAGAAATAATTCATACCTTCATGAAATACTTCGAGTTTAAATACAATGCTAATTTTATGTAAATTTGTTTAGCTTAGATTTTCTTCAAAGTGTAGTTTTTTTAAAATTTGGAAGAACATAAGGTAAGGCATAAGGAAGGGTCATAGGGCATGTATCCCACTGAAACACCAAAACCCTATCAAATAAACAAAATCTGAATATGGCATACAGTATTTGCTCTATTAGAAGCAATCTCCAATAAAAGCACATATAAACCTAAAATTGTATTTGATGTGCATATGTATACCGAAACGTTAAAATATTACTTATTTTGACCTTAGAAACACCTCTAATTATGTACATGTGTAAGTACATACACTACAACTAATAGAGCAAATAATGTATTTTGAATTGTATGCTGACTGGCCATGTGCAATTAAATTTACTTACTGTATTCCCCCTATTAGAAGTGCATTTTTTACAAATATACCAGTACTGATTGTTTTTCTGAATTGCAATTCTATATAAATGTACATGTACCAATATATGCTTAACACACACTTAATGCATTGATACACGGCCATTTGAATAGTATAGCACTTCAAATACAGCAAATATAGTATTTGTGTAGACTTGATGTTATCATAAAAATACTTATGTCCAGTCAGCATGTATTAACTGGTTACTACATGTACTTGTAATGGCTACTGTTCATTGATGGTTGCAAGTCTGACTACTAAATTTATAGTGCTAGTATTAAGTATCAAGTTATGATCAAGCACAACTGTGTTGGTGGCCAATCAGCTGACCTCTGATACAGTGCTGTTACAGGTTATACATCTCACAAAGCTAGTATAGGCAAATGAAACGCATTTCATCATAAGACCTCAACCTCTTACCCCCTCAAAAAGCTTGCTCTGCGTTTTTCCAAGATAAAATTCAGGGGTAGCAACTCAAGCAAATTGTTTTTTCTAAATCATGTAGCAAAGATTTTTAGTTTACAAAATGTATAAGACACTGCTTCTTCTAAATTAATTAACCTTAGAAATACATTAGGGCCTATGTTTCTGCTAAATAGGATCAGTGATGATTTTCAAAAAAAAACATGCTACATATCTCGCAATACCACAATAACCAATTTTTAAAGTCAAAATGTCATCCTACAGAAAGAAATACATTTGGAAATTTTATAAACAGTAATCTGCAGAGCAAGTTAAATTTTCGGCCTGGCCCAAATATATTAAAACACAAAACCGTAATTGTTCTATTAGAAGCACATCTCAAATAGAAGCGCATATACATACCAAATTGCATTTTTTGTATTTCGAAAAGTTAAAATATTACATATTAAAATATGTAATATTTTAACCACAGAAACACATAATAAATTGTTACTAATGAAGCAAATAAGGTATGTTGGTTTTATTTTGTTAATGTCTTTCCACTTTAGTGGTTTATTTTCACTTTCTGAATACAGTAAACTGCTTAAATGCTAGAAATTGTTATGATTTGAGGATTTTATGACATAATGCAAACAAAATTTCACAAAAAAAGCTGACACTCTATGTCATAAAACTCAAAAATTTTTACTGCTACTTCACTGAAATTCATAAAAATTTGCTACTCATGTTTAAAACAGTTTACTGTATGTCTATGATTGATAAGTGAAACTACATTATTAGGTCTTTAGTATATCACTCAGGGAAACACAACAAATTATTTATGCAAAAAACATTACAATTCGTGCAAAGTATAGCATGCCAAACACACAATTTGCAGAAAAAATACAATGTGCATAACATTATTTCAAACCAAGTATTAATTTTATTTTCCGCTAAACTTACTAACCTGTTTTGTCTGATTCAAAGTATTCTGTTTTGTTTCAAAATAAAATATAAATATTTAGGCCATTAATCTCAGAGTAAACATTATAAAGAATTGATACATAAATCTGATAATAAGACTCTAGTGGACTGAACCATTCATCTAGTAGGAGTGATAGGTTAGACTGAACTATTTGGGTATGCATGCATTGACACCTGTAAAAGAGTAAAATTTGTGTGGCATCTAATCTGTTTAAAGGTCTACATCAGGAACCCAGTCATTTCAAGCAACAGCTTGCAGGTAATAGATTGATTGAACACATGATAGAACAAAGAGAAGAGAACTAATTAAGTAATTATACTTACTGTCTTCATGACTGAATGGAGCAAATAGCGTCAATGGACCAATGATTTCATTGTACTTTCTTTGAAGATCAGTCTGGAATTGTCAGTGAATGATTTGTGAAATAAATAATAAAGTTAATGAATATGACATGATATGACGTACAGATTGATTTTTTCAAAAATTTCATTCTGAATGCAAATATCACATGAATACAATTTTCAAACATGTGATGTTAACACTTACCGCACCAAAAGCCAGATTTGTCATGGGATACATTTCGTCCTTCTTTCTCAAATGAGGATCCATATTTGGAGCACCTGCAATACTACTTCCAGATGACATTTTGAAAATCAAATAAAAGATTTTCCTATATAAAAGATGTGAAAAGACAATATATTTAGAAGCATAATCGTAAAATCAATACTATCAGTAAAATCAATAAAATCAATCCTCATTTGGTGCTTATTGCAAACTATGAAAGATGACAATTAATGAGGAAAAGTCAAACGTGTTGATCATTAACAAGAAAGTTAACAAAATCAAAGATTGGCAGAACTCAAAGATAAAAGAAGCTTCTGAGTATAAATATTTGGGTTATTGGATTACACGTAACTTGTCAGATCATACATAGTGTACAATCAAAGAAAGCTTAGAAAGAACTCCCATGTGCTGAGAGTATTGGAAACACATTAAAAATAATTCGAAATTACTTGTACTTGATTGAGATAGTGATGGAAAAGCTGAAAACTAATAATGCAAATCAGAAAATTAATATGAACAGATTTGAATGTAAAACTAATGAGGTCTGTGCAGTGTAACAGACCATCTATGTACCAAGTTTTATTGAAATGTGATTGGAACCAAAAAAAATTATGAATTATTATGCTAATTAGGGAATTAATATAACAGATTTTAACCCCAAAGGTTTGTACATTGTCCTAGAGCATCTTTGTACTAGGTTTCATTGAAATGGAATAATTAGTACTTTAGATATCAGTGTGATAGTATAAAAGTGGTTAATTATGTTAAATTAGTAATTAATATGTACAGATTTTAACCCACAATTATCCAGGTCTGTCTATTGTCCTACAGCATCCATGTACAAAATTTCATTGAAATGTGATGATTAGTACATTTACTTGAGAAATCAGTGTGAAAGCTGAAAATTAATTAATTATGCAAATTAGGGAATTAATATGCACAATTATTTACCCTAAAACTAGTCAGGTCTCTGAATAGTCCTAAAGGATCTATGTACCAAGTTTCATTGAAATGTAATGATTAGTACTTGAGATATCAGTGGAAAAAACGAAAATTTACTAATCATTATGCAAATTAGGTAATTAGTAATTAGGTATTCTTTACCAAAAACTGTTCAAAATCTAGCATTAGTTTAGAGCATCTATGTACCAAGTTTCATCAAAATCCAATGAGTGGTTGTTTAGATATCAGTGGAACAGTCATAAAACAGCTAAAAATTAGCTAATTATCATGCAAATTAGGTCATTAATATGTACGGATTTTTACCAAAACCTAATTAAATCTGTGCATCAGCCCAGAGCTTCTATGTACCAAGTTTCATTAAAAACTGATGTACGGTTCTTGAGATATCAGTGGAACAGACGAACACACATACACACACACACACACACACACATACAGACACACAAACTGCAAAGACTCCCATTTTGTGCTTCGCACATGGGAGTCAAAAATGCCTGAAAAGTTTAACAAGTTATTCCCCATTATGAAATCAATTCTTGGTAACCATGGCAATGTGAATAGAGTAGATTATGGTATATCCCTGTGGAACCACATTGTTAGACCTGCCTTAGAGTATGCCTGTGTAATATTTAGTTCAACAGACTTGGAAAAGTTAGAAAGAATACAACGTACAGTGGGAAAGTTTATTCTAGGAGCATGTCGATACACAGCAAGCGAAGTCGTTCTTTGGGTTACCCGGTACTATTTGTTTTATTTTAGTGAAATTTAGTGTTGAAAAACCATTTACAAAATTTACGGTTCACAAACATACAGCATTTATAAATTTGAAAACTGCTGTTGACCAATCAAAAAAATTGTTGTGACGTCACTTTGGATGAATATACACTCCAGAAAAAACCAAACTAGTTTGCATGTGAGTGTAGGCATATCGACCAGAATCTGATTAGCTTTGTGGCACATTATGGAACACTGCATGAATTATTATAGCCAATCCAGTTGTCTCAATTGGATTTGAAAGAAACATTCAGACCTTATCGGTAAATATGTTATATATTAGCAGAGGTACATTACTTGGGGTTTGCAACTCGCATAGTACTGTATGGTGACATCATGTCAAGATCCCATTGAAGTCTCATCTCGTAGATAGCGAGACTGAGGCTACGACCTTCTGACATGATATATATCAATGTTCAAGGTTTGTAATGAAAAAATAAAACTTTTCTTGCCACTATCGTAGTGAAAAATGTAATACATCAAAAATGTACAGAAAATATAGTTCTCGTAATCCGTCATATCGTGGGCAGCTATTTTGATCCACCTGGACATCCCAGTATCCTAGTTACCTCGGGCATGCGCATTCGCATTTTTCTGAGTTGGAACGCATATGCGAGAGCGAGATTGTAACGGGATCTTGGTATCATGTCACCGTAGTTGCAAACCCCAAGTAATGTACCTCTGATATTAGTTATATATGTAAAATATGTAAACAGCTTTTCAAAAAAAGTACTGTACAAGAATATGCACGGTTGTTGAAAAATTATGATTTCATCTTCATTTGTTTTCAAAACCGGAAACCGACTAAAGCATGTTTCTTTACTTTAATCTTTTTCTATGCAAATCAAGTGATCCATGCCAAGTGTTTCATGTTGTGATCAAGGAGTCAATCATTTAAAATGATGGGGTGGGTTAAGAGTGTAATCAGTGCATTTTTTCCCACATGCAGTGTCTTATCTGTGCATTTTTATTGAATGTGCCAACATTTTCCCCTGCAACCCTTTGCATGATTTTTTTTCTCTCAGTGTCTAGCTTGTTTTTTTTGTTTCTTCCAGCCACCCCACGAGTTCCAAAGGTCGACCCTCGAATGTTGTTAGCGATACGCATGTGGGTCATAAGAAATAGCATTTCACACCATGCGATACATGTGTCATGGACAGTATACTTCGAAGCCAATCGCCCATTATGTAGTGTCTGCAGTTATTATCACTGGTATATATTGAAATTATTTGACAAATAATCTCTACAAGTACAAATCTTGACACTGATGACTGATCACACAAAATCAGCTTTGATATATCGAATTATACCTTCATCGGAAGTTATTCCGAATAAATTTAGACAGTCTCATGTGTCTGAACATACCTCTTATTAATTTCAAGTCGTCATAATATACGTCGTTTGCCGGGGACAGGTGAAAATGTTTGTTATTGTTTTTCGTCTCGGCTACGAGGTAGAATGATCGCCATTTTCTTGCTCATGAATATGCAAATTTATTGTTGCTCCGGCTACAGGATAGGTCAAACAAACAAATATAGAAGTACTTCCGGTTTTGTGTGTATGCCAACATTTATAATATCGATAATCATCTAATTGGCTTCAACTCTGACGTAAAACATAGTTCAAATGTAAAATATGGACATTCAGTTCAAATACCAAGAACATGTTGTGGTTCTGTTCGTGACCTCTAACTTCGGATTAATTCGACTCGGGTTCGGTATTCAAAATGGCTGCCTCCATTGAAAGTGCCGGTGCCTTAGAAAAAGAAATTAGAATTGCTCGAAATGAATTGAAAAACATCAGGTATGTTCCTGATTATTGTACTAAGTATGGTGTGTCTAATTGGAGTTGCTAACAGCTGTAAATACCATTGTGCAAATAGTTTTTTTTTATATCAAATCGTTTTCTATACGTCATTATCGCTAGCATCGTGTACGTAAACATGTACACAGAGCTACATTATTCTACACGGTGTCCGCCGAACTCGGCTGGCGGTTGAAGTCGGCCAGTTTATGTAGGTGTTATTGGCTGAGAGTGTTGTTGATTTCAGTCATATTACGGTAAAAAATAAAATACTGAACGATGTTGTAGATTTCAGTGACGCAGCAGTGATGTGTCATATCACGGTAAAAAATAAAATACACTGGCGACCAACATTATTCGTGTTGTTTGGTTTATTGAAACACTTAAAATTCCTCAGAAGGAATTAAAATGGTTACACCAACTGCTAAAACACATATATAAAACATACAAATTTTACAAGAATTACTGTCTAAAGCACAACAATGGTTTATAAAATAAATCAACAAGTTAAAAATTACAAACAAACGATTAATAAATGTTAGTAATAATATTGGGGAAAAAAAATAGATGAAATAATAATAATAAAAAAAGCAATAAACAGTAAATCAATGAAAGATGGACCATGTTACCATAGACCATGGAGGTAACATGCATGGCCCTACCATAGAGGTAACCTCCATGGCCCTACCAACACAGGATGAACATAGACCCACTGTCTTTTGATCTATGTGCGTTGCCACTATTTACTTTCTACTTGAGATTAATTAATGTTTATTAGCTTTTTACTGCAGGCTCTTGACTCTTATCAGACTAATCCTGCGCAATTGACATCGCGTAACTACTCCCCAGACGTGGAATGCTGAACGTTTCGTCCCCGGACGTTTCGGCTCTGGACGTTTCGCTCCCGCACGTTTTGGCCTAAGAAGTGTTCGATGGTAAGATGATCTTAGCCACGGAGTGAAAATATTCTAAATGAAACTATAAGGAAATATGTCTTACAATCAATGATTTCTTTACGTTTGCTTCTTCTACAATTTGTGCAGTTGCATGTAATAGCATTCTTGTCTTGTTGCGAATGTGTGCTTGTTTACTCACTCGTCACCTGGCACTTTTAACATTAGCTGTACAGTAGATCTGCATTTCTCGTTTGTAAAATAGCTTAAGCAGTTAAAACTATATGCTTAAGCAACTATGTATTAAATATTTCTGTAAACAACTCTATACCGACATCATAGACTATGTATTAAATATTTCTGTAAACAACTCTATACCGACATCATAGACTGTATTAAATATTTCTGTAAACAACTCTATGCCGACATCATAGACTATGTATTAAATATTTCTGTAAACAACTCTATACCGACATCATAGACTATGTATTAAATATTTCTGTGAACAACTCTATGCCGACATCATAGACTATGTATTAAATATTTCTGTAAACAATTCTATGCCGACATCACATAATAGACTATGTGCTAAATATTTCTGTAAACAACTCTGTGCTGACATCCCGTAATAGACGATGTGCTAAATATTTCTGTAAACAACTCTATGCCGACATCACGTAATAGACGATGTGCTAAATATTTCTGTAAACAAATATATTCCAACATCACGTAATAGACTATGTATTAAATATTTCTGTAAACAACTGAATGCCGACATCATGTAATAGACTATGTATTAAATATTTCTGTAAACAAATATATTCCAACATCACGTAATAGACTATGTATTAAATATTTCTGTAAACAACTGAATGCCGACATCACGTAATACACTATGTATTAAATATTTCTGTAAACAACTAAATGCCGACATCACGTAATACACTATGTCTTGAATATTTTTGTAAACAAATATATGCTGACATCACCTGATAGTAGATTTTACATTTTGTACAAATGTGAGAAATATTTTATGCAAATGATTAAACACGTAGACAAAGTCGGGAAAGATCCATCAAACTGTGTAACAGGTAAGTGTGAAATGGTTCGAATAAATTATTAGATATAAAAAAGTCGGCAAACACTAATTATCTTTGAACTTGGGGTATAAATAGAGGGAAATCGTTTAATATCAACAGTTGATCAAACTTATTACGACTAAGGGAGGAGGGCGAAAGTTATGTTTGGATGTATTTATGTATGTATACCAAGAAGGGAGAATCAAGACAAGCAGACCAGATGACATGGCGCTGTATTAAGCGAGATCCTCCAGTAAGATGCACTTCATTACTGAAGACCACCAAGATCCAGCAATCACTATTGATCACTGTCACCCACCAGATGACATGGCAGTCAAGATTACCAAAACCAGAGAAGACATGAAACTGAAAGCTGGTACAACTCTGGACAAACCGAACCAGATATTTACATTTGCCAATGCTGAACTTCCAGATGATGCCTAGGCACGCATGCCAAGTGCAGAAACATGTAAACGTGTTTTAAGAAGAGAGCGTGCAGCCCACAGACCTCGGGACCCGTAGTCATTGGCAGAACTTAGCATCAACGATGAATGGGCAATGACATCTGGTGAAAATCCAGTTAGATTCCTGTTACATGATAACCAAGATGAGCATGAACGCATTGTTATGTTTGCTACTGAACAACATGTTCAGAAACTAGCAATGTCAGACACATGGTGTATGGATGGCAATTTTTCCATGTTGCCTAGAATATTTATGCAACTGTATGTAATTCAGGGAAGAGTCTCTAATGTGTTTCTCCCATTGGTATATATTTTATTGCAACGAAAAACACAGAGCAGTTATGAGGCAGTGTTTCAAGTATTAGAGGAATATGTCTGTGACCCATCGGTGGTTATCATTGACTTTGAACGAGCTGTGGAACTTGCTATACATTCGCTATTTGGACCCCATTTACAAATTCGCTACTGTTTTTACCACTTAACACAGTCAACCTGGAGAAAAATACAGAGGCTTGGACTAATAAACATGTATCAAACAAATGAGGAATTTCGATTATTTTGTGGAATGCTTAATGGCCTTGCGTTGCTGCCAATCGAGGAAGTCCAGGAAGGAATGGAGTATATTAAAGACAACATGCCTTGAAGAAGCTGATACATTGTTAGAATACTTTGGCTGAACATATGTTTTGGGTCATTTAAGACAGCAACCATTACCACACCAAGATGGGCTGGAGGACAATGTTGCCCCTATCAGAATTCGTCGTATCCCACCGATTTTTTCACCAAGTGGGTGGAATTTACACCAAGCAACATTTGATGGTGAGCCACGCACAAACAACATATGTGAAGGTTGGAACAACAAACTGTTGTCCCTAGTTGGTCACCAACACCCAAGTATATGGAAGTTCGTAGAGTTTCTCCAGCCCCCCCCCCCCCAGCTTTATCCTAATGTGATACCAAGTAAAACATAATACTGGTATTGTTATGTAATAACACCCGACCAAAAAAATAGTTTTTCCAGAATATGTTCTCAATAAACCTACAAGACACAACGCATTGTTAAAGTTGTGGTGTCTGTTATATTTAGTTGAAGTAATTTGGCTTCTTACATGTAATTAAATCCAACAATAATAGGTGTCAATTATTACAATTGTTAATGTGTTTCGTCTTCAATAATAATAATATTAATAAAGACGTAATAAAAAAGGACATGAATATAGTCTACTACGTCATGTCGGCATCGAGTTGTTTACAGAAATAATTAACACATCATCTATTAAGTGGTGTCGGCATATATTTGTTTACAAAAATAGTTAATACATAGTCTATCAGGTGATGTTGGCATATAATTGTTTACAGAAATATTTAATAATAGTCTCTATTCTGGCCAAAAAATCACTTCCCGCTCCAGAATAAACCGAGTTGACACGACAGCGCAATTACCACCATACATTGTATCAAAAACACGAACTCCTAATGTATTCACGTCATTATCTTTGCCAACAACATTTACCTTAATCAGCTCATTAATTTCTGTGAACCGTCAACACTTATTGTTATGAAATAATGGATTTCAACACTTATAACGATAGGTGTGAATTTCACTAGAAAGAAAGTCATTGTGTCCTCTTATGTCCATCTAGTATAGTAACAATATATTAAAATATATTAACGCTAATTTCACATACTCCCAGAGTACTGGAGATCGTTTATTTTATAAAAGAGAGCCACGGGCCGAAACGTCCGCCCTGGCCGAAACTCTTGGCCTAAACGTCCGAGCCGAAACATCCAAAGCCGAAACGTCCGCCCACCGTAGACATGAGTGAGGCTTCGCTTGCAAACAGGAAATGAAACAACTCAAACACCATGAAACGATCTATACTTTACTAACAACAAACCATGTCAAAAACATGTGTTCAGAGATTTGGGCCAATGAAATTACAAATGAAAACAATTACTTGGAGCAAGCATGCAACCACTTTTACCAGTTTATTTTAGGTGTTAGTAAAGTAACACCATTGATTGGTATAAGAGGTGAAATTGGTAGAATCCCTAAAGGGATTAAGGAAAATTTATCACTAATTAGTCCCCGTTCGGACGCAGTCTTTCATGATCTGATTCAAGATGGCCGAATGGCGGCCATTTTTGTGCTAACAAATCATCAAAATCGAGCATTTCCCGGTTGTTTACAGATGGATTTTGTTCAAACCTTGTATATACGTTGGACATTATAGGACCTTGATGCACATCATTTTGTTTTACGATCTGATTCAAGATGGCCGAATGGCGGCT